TCAAAAGTTTTTCTTAATAGACACTTTCATTTGAAAAATGTTAGTAGGAAATGAAAAAATTATTCAAAGATTCAATACTATTAATATTTGGAAGATTCAAAAAAAAAAAAGATTGTTTGTGTAAATTGAATTTTGCTAATGTAGCAAGCATTAMAGAAGCAATCTTTTGTAATAATAATTTTGTTGTAATATAATATATTGTGTATATAAATAYATAAATGCAGACAAGCTTTATTACTCATGAAAACGAATATTTATTGCTTTAAAATTCGAAAAATAAAATTACTTTTAAGTAGACATAGTTTACAAAATAGCTGCAGTATATTTATATTAATAACATCTATTAWTTTTGATCAAATTTTAAAAAACTATTAATATTAAATAAATTAGTAAAACATAGAACTATGCACGATGGCGGCGCGTGCAGGAAAATCTAATAACATTATTTCTTTGTAAATTTCTACTGCTATTTTATCGTACACATGTATAAAAATTCATTGTATGTTATATATATATATATATATATGTATGTTCAGTGTGTAAACACGAATGAATTTGATGTCACAGAAACACAATACAAAATGAATAATTAATGAGATAAGTTTTACTTACAATTACTCAAAATTTCACGTATACAAACATTTGACATAATTTAAAATCGTCAAGAAAATAATTCAATTGAATTTGATCAAAATTATCAATCATTTGTAATCACGACACAGAGCGCATGGAATTATATATATATATATGTATATAGAAATTATGTAAGTGTAATAGTATTATACACTTTTTTTAAGATCTTAAATTTTCAATTGTATTATGATCATCTCTAAAGTTTTAATTTTAACTATTTTGTTAGCACCCACGACAATACTATTTTGCAAAATCGGTCATCTTCTATATATCATTAATCAAATATATTTTGTGGGTTGATTATTTAATGACATTATAATAGCAAGTTGTGTACACTAGCAATTATTAAATTGCTGAATTTCACAGTAATAGAAGATTCCCTTTCCTCTTCTATCTTATTATATATATATATATATATTATTTCTATAATGTTTTAATTCATATACAGAAAGTATAATTATGTATCAGTTATAAATATATGAGTATATGCTGAGTAAGTGATTATTAAATCAATGATAACTAATTGTCAGTTGATCATAAATGCATGATTCTCAATTCAGTATTTTAGTAATGATCGAGTTTAGTAAAAAATCAATATTTATATGAATTGAGAATTATGCACAGTTGTTTTATGGCTATTTTAATTAACTATAACGATGGGCCATTACTTCTATATGTTCATCAAGATATTGTTCTGATTCATTGTCATGTTTCAAATACAATATGAATACTTCTGAACAAATTATTTCATTTTGTTTATATATTGTAAGATTAATGGAAAGGAAATCTTTCTTTACTGATGTAAAATCCATTGGTGCATTATCAATAGCTATAGCTGTACATTATACATATGAAATTACTTAGTAATGAAAATTTTTTAGAAACGTATAAAATCCGAATGATACAAAAAGTAGTTGATCATATGAGTTTAGAATGAATAACAGTCATATAAAATGCATATCTATAAATATCTCAACCAGAAGTGACCACTTAAAAATTTGTTTAATTTTTTTCTATGCTATTGTTTTTTTTTTTCCCCAATTACTTGCATTTAAAAATATTTTCAATCCATTATTCGCTATAATTTCTTTGAATAGCAGGTTCATACGTTCAATAATATACTGTATTAATAATATTTACATAAATTTAACCAATATTGTACACATTAGAGATGTACTAATTGTAAGTTTTACTTGAAGGAGAAATAATGTTGCTCATTGTTGCCCTCAACCCCTCACACCCACCCACATTCAAATATTCTTACTTCTTAATCATTTTTAAATATCATAATTCGCAATCTATATTAAACAGTAAATACAGTAATTGTTATAATATAACAATAGCAAAAACAAACTTAGGAAAGTGCTGAATATGGTGAAAGTAAGAATTCATTTATGTTAGAGAAAGAACAAAATGAATGAAGATTAGGGCAATAGGCCCTATGTATACCAATTTTGAACATTTCTGTTGTACATAGATTACATGACAAATTATTAATTTAATAAGCATTTGTTATGCAATACATTGAAAAAACTTCTTATTTTAGAAATAATTACACAAAAATGTATTTTGAAGTTTGGGCTAGAAAAATAGAATTGACAATCAGAACGTTAACAATTTAGTCAATTGAAAAGATCAGTTGCACAAGTGAAGTGTTGTATACACGTTAGCTACTATTTCATCAATTAATTCATACGTACAAAATTCTTGTTATTTTTTTTTTTTTTTTTCATATGTAAATAAAATAAAAACGCGTTATCAATTAAAAAACAAACTCTGTTAAGATATTGTTGAAAGTCAATATTAACTCTGTTATTATGCAAAAATGATTAAATATATATATTTATATATATATATATATATATATTGATTATTTTATTTTGAAATGTAAAGTTTTTGAAACAAGAAACTTCTACAAGTTTTAATATTTTCATTATTTAACTGCATTCTATATAGCTCTACTTTGTAATACAAATATAATTATTTAGAAAATTTTTGGAATCATCTCTGTGATTTCAATACAAATTCAAATCACAAAGAGAAACATAAAACGAAGCTATATCAACTCTAAAAAAAAAAACAGCATCACATTCATTCGTACAACGTTTTTTAATGTCGCATATGACAGTAAAATATGCATTATTAAAATTTATTATATTAGAAATAGCACATATCATCATATCGCCTTAAATGTTATCAACTACATAATATGAATATATTTTCTCTTTCTTGAATATGTTTAAACTCGTGACATTGCACTTGCAGAAAACGATGTATTTGTTAAGCTTAGGATTATAATTTATCAATTTTTCTTTTTTAATCTTTTTCACATTGCTCTGTGAGTTGAACTTTAGGCTACGCAAACATTATTGTACCGGAAGACCATCTTGTCATTAAATTGTAAGAATAGTAAAATATTTCAATGGGTATTTCTATGTAATTCCGCATTTCTAAAATCAGAAGAAATTTGATTAATTACGTAGGTTGGAAATTAAATAGTGCCAATCGATACAAAAGAGTTACATGTTTGCACCTGTTACTGTCCTTCAAAGTAGTCACCAACGTTGTGTAGAACCCGTTAGCAGAGCCTGTTCTGTTGATGGTGCGAATGGAGCGGTTTACTGCCTGTCGAACCTCTGGAACAGTTCTGAAGCGAATGCCACGATGGGTTCCGCATGAATTGACGAAAATGCAGAAATGGATGCGTTACGACGCTGCTCAGACGCACTTGGAATACTATGAGCGCGAATGAGAGGCTTCCTTATGCCATATCGTAACACTGGATGAGACATGGGCAGTAGACCGCTCCATTCGCACCTTCAACAGAACAAGCTCTGCTAAAGGGTTCTACACAATGCTGGTGACTACTTTAAAGGACAGTTACAGAAGAATACATGTAACTCTTTTGTATCGGTTGTGAATAAATAGTTGCTACTATTTAAGTTCCAATCTACGTATATATATATAAAAACATACACGCACSCACGTATACACTCTATTATAATATTTTATACTATACTATACAATATATGTTATACTATATATTTCAATACAAATGAAAAATAAGCAATAATAGTATGAAAACTTTTTCAAAATATTTAGAGATGCAGAATTAACTATAGAAATGACAAATATTAATAGATTACATTGATTTCACAAATAATGTAGCTTTATTATTACTTCCAAAAACCTGCTCACACATAATGGCACCGTTTACAGTTTATTTTCCTCTTTCTTTTTTTTTTCTTTTGTGCTCGACATTAATTTCACTTGTTTTTTTATTTCTTTATTTCATTCAAATTTATTACAAAGAAAGTATATTGCATAATAATTAAAATTTCAAAAACACATTTTTCTACCCGTAATTCTCTAATTCCTACTAAACGCCATTTTTTTTATCGGTAAAAATATAAAGATATGAATGATTGTGATGTTTTATAAATTGAAATTTTGTTATTTTCAAAAATAAATTCACTAAGCAATATTGAAATCAAATAGAATGAAGCGATTAATAGCCACAGAGAGTACATATTTACATAAATTAAGATAAGTAATAATAAAATATTATTACTATTGTAATTATTTTTATATTAGCTCTTTAAATTTTGTTAAAACGATATAAAACTAATTTATTATTATTTTAATTAATTAAAAATCATAAATAAAAATGTCCTGCAAATGAGTAAGACATTAAAGTTTCATCAATTCAAACAATTTTCATATACAGTAAAAATAATGACATAACTACGTTATATTATCATTAACGTTAATATTACCAATTTATGAAGGAACGTTCTACGTATATATACGTAGGTTGGAACTTAAATAGTGACAACTATTTATTCACAACCGATACATGTTTGCTCCTGTTTCTGTCCTTTAAAGTAGTCACCAGCGTTGTGTAGAACCCGTTAGCAGAGCCTGTTCTGTTGATGATGCAAATGGAGCGGTCTACTGCCTGACGAATCTCTGGAACAGTTCTGAAGCGAATGCCACGATGGGTTCCGCATGAATTGACGGAAATGCAGAAATGGATGCATTACGATACTGCTCAGACGCACTTGGAGTGTTATGAGCACGAATGAGAGGCTTTCTTACGTCGTATTGTAACACTAGATGAGACATGGGCAGTAGACCACTCCATTCGTACCATCAACAAAACAGGCTCTGCTGACGGTATACTACGCTTTCTAAATCGCTGGCAACGGGTTCTGCACAACGCTGGTGACTACTTTGAAGGACAGTAACAGGTGCAAACATGTAACTCTTTTGTATCGGTTGTAAATAAATAGTTGCCATTATTTAAGTTTCAATCTACGTATAATTTGGAAGTAATTACAAAAATACACATCATTGTGTAATTAAATCAGTGTGTATACAATATTAGAAAATTTTGTCTGTTCATATATTGTGATATTATACTGAATTTTGTGCAAATGTCAACATACTGAATGAATGAATGAGTTTAATTGCAAGCAAAGAATAATATTATAGAATCACAGTAATACAGCCATTGTTACCTCGTATTATTCACAAAAATGCTTAGATATTAATTGTGTTAATATCTATTTTGATATAAATTATATTTAATCCATAAAACTTGAATAATTTCTTGGATATATTTGAAAAAATCATCATATCATAGAAATGACAAATATTATTGTTTTCTATCTAAGCAGTTTTGTGATATCTCGGTAGGCAGAAATATGAATTTTTAAAGATACACATAACTTAGTAAAATATACAGAACATTTTACATTGAATCATGAATGTGTTGCTGTTTGTTTCATTATAAAATAAATATTAAATGATTCCATAAACATTGGACACAATGACTAATGCAAATAAATATGTCTAATTTTAGATCAATATTGTTACGTGGTAGATAATTGAATAGTTTTAATATCAAAATTATAAGCAAATAAAAATGCTACAAATATATAGCTAGTAATTGTTTGTAATATATATATATAACATAAATTCGGTAAATTTGTTCATCAAATTTCTTCTTTAAGTATTTCATACTACTATTTTACAGAATTTATTATTGTACAATATTCTAGTGATTATGTGTTTTGTTGCCTGGTGTGCACAGATAATTCTTCTTCTATATTAAAGAACCCATCTGCTTTCTATTAAATATACGTCTTGCATATTAAATAACATGCAATGTATGTGTATAAATGTCCAACTAGTTCACAAACAAATATCACAATATGGTTCTGTTCCAATGTTTTTTTTTTTTTTAAAACAGTAGAAGAATCATTTGCACAAAACAGCGCATGTAACGTTTGCATTTGTATTATTGTATCTTGTCAAAAATATATTGTTTAATTTTGTCTGCCCTATTGTTGGTTTTTTTGTGTGCAGTATATAAGAAATATACAAAGATAGTAATTTACATGATGTTTTTTTTATCAAAAAATGGCATTCAATTAGAAAATTTCAATGCAGCTGATAATTTGAAAAATGAATTAGTTGTGCATTGTATTTTTACATTACACACGCGTTAAAATAAGATTTTATTCATGAAATGCTACTTATTTTCTTGCATACGCCTACTTTTAGCATATACAAAGCTTCACAAACAAATCAATGTTAAATAGATATTATATTGTCAAATTAAGAATTACTATGATAGAAATTGCTGTATAATTGGCAAATATTCTGTATCTGTGCATATAGTAAAGTAAAAAAAAGAAAAAAGAAAGAGACAAAAATTGCAACTTTTTAGTATGAAGAGTATAATATAAATACTTTCATATCTTAACACGTTCGTCGCCATGGCACCGTATACCGGAGACGGGGTATGCTTCACTGGGGGCCCCCGTCACCGTATACGGTGACGCTCTTCTTGTTGAAGTTATAGTATTTTTAATTGGAAAAACTTTTCACATTTCACAAACAGAATTATTTTCGGTAAATAAAAGATAGTTTGATATTTGATTATTTTTGATAAATAAACGATATTTTCTTCCCTCCGGGCAAAAAGCGTCAACTTTTCTGCCGCTGTTCAAAACGAAGTTGCCCCTTTCCGCCTACGTCAAGCAGAAAAAATGTATACTCACCATGGGCAGTAAATAAGGAAGCCTCAGAGCACAATTACATGTAATCTGAGACATTTCTTACTTTACGTCCCTAGGTGGGTAATATACTATTTTATATTTGATTATTTTCGGTAAATAAAATATAATAATATAATATAACCATAATACTCGGTTTGCATTGTTGATATTTCTACTTAGCGCTTCTTTACGTTACGTAGGCGCGCCGACAGTCACATTTTGGGCCTAACGAGAAACTCAACCGAAACAGGCTGGGCGACGAACGTGTTAAGTATGAAGAGTATAATATAAATACTTTTATATCTTAACACGTTCGTCGCCATGGCACCGTATACCGGAGACGGGGTATGCTTCACTGGGGGCCCCCGTCACCGTATACGGTGACGCTCTTTTTGTTGAAGTTATAGTATTTTTAGTTGGACAAACTTTTCACATTTCAAAACAAAATTATTTTCGGTAAATAATAGTATATTATTCACCTAGGGAGGTAAAGTAAGAAATGTCTCAGAGCACATGTTTTTTGACCTCGGCTTTGCCTCAGCCAATAATTACATGTACTCTGAGGCTTTCTTATTTACTGCCCACGGTGAGTACACATTTTTTCTGCTCGACGTAGGTGGAAAACGGCAATTTCCTTTTGAATAATAATATAATATAACCATAATACTCGGGTTGTGTGCATTGTTGATATTTCTACTTATCGCTTCTTTACGTTATGTATGCGCGCCGATAGTGAAATTTTGGGCCTGACGAGAAACTCAACCGAAACGAGCTGGACGACGAACGTGTTAAAAATGATATTAATTTAACTGCACTTTTTTAATGTGATATTATTGATGATTCTTTATAGCATTCTGATATATACAAGAGGCAAGAAAAATGAAGATTAAAGACAGACAGACAGACAGACAAACCAACAAACGGGACAGCAGTATATATAAATATTCAATTGTTTTGTTTTTTTTTTTTTTTTTAGTACACAATATATCATCAGCTACTCATGTATTTTGTTACTTTCCTATTATCCTATTTTGTAGCTAAATTTGTTGTTTTCATAATATAATTTATGCTTTGATTAATTATATTTTATTCATATTATTGTTATAAGTAAAATAGTATATATCGTAATTATTTATTATATTCATAAATATATTTAGGAATAATTTTCCTAAAATTTTCAACTTTACGCGATCGTGTTATTATTATTATTATTTTCTTTACAAAATGCAAAATAAAATGATATTTTTATATTTATAATTAATATATATATATATATGTATATATTTAAATATTATATTTTGTGGATTAATATAGTGCAATATATTTTAAACATAAAAAATCATCTAATTGTGTTGAAAAAGAAACCAAATTATTTTCGATCACGGAAAGCTGACAATCCCAGCATTCTTTATAAGTACTCTCTATGAATAATTTGTCTGTTGTTTTGTTTTTGTTTTTTTTTTTTGTTTTTTTTTTTTGTTATTTATTCTAAGTTAACAGTCATGCGTAATATTTTACATGTATATGCAATTACATAACATTAATAATTGCTAATATTGATTTTAAAAATCGAAATCTTTATATTATAAATATATGGAGGAATTATATATAACTTTTCACATTTTGAAATGATTGTTGTACTTATAAAGAATGCACTAAATAAACATAATAAAAATGCATTATTACAGTGCTAAACGGATTTAAATCGCAATGATATTTTGCAAATGTCATGGTATATACGGTCCAAAAAAAATAACAAAAAAAAACATTTAGACATTATAGAAAAAATATCTGTATTTATATTATTAAGTGAATGTTGTTTATTATCATTTTTAAAAATGCCATTATTTTTTTTTTTTTCGTTTTTTTTTTTCCAGGCGATTTTTATTAATAAAAAAATATTTGATCTTTTTTTTTTTTACTCTCTCTCTCTCTCTCTCTCTCTCTCATAATTTTTAAATACTATTTTTTAGACCGTTTATACCATTAAAGAAAAGTATTTTTTTTGTTGTTGTTGTTTTTTTTTTTTAATAACATCTATAATATCTGAATATTAATAATTTGCAATAAAAACGCACCTAATAAAACATTTATTTCTTTTCTTTTTGGCCTCATTGTTCAATACTAAACTATGAATGTGTAATTGGAAAAAAAAATAAAATAAAATAAACAATTTATTTAATGATGAAAGTTAAATAATTAAATAATTAAGTATAAAATTGATTTATAATACCCTTTTCAAAATTAATTTTGATTAATAATAACAAAGTACTAATTCGCTTTGAAAATATAATTAAAGTTAGATTTGACTGTAAAAAAAAAAAAAAAAAAAAAAAAAAAAAAAAAAAAAAAAAAAAAAAAAAAAAAAAAAAAAAAAAAAATTAAGTATAAAATTGATTTATAATACCCTTTTCAAAATTAATTTTGATTAATAATAACAAAGTACTAATTCGCTTTGAAAATATAATTAAAGTNAATAAAAACCCAAGCTGAAAAGAAAAAAAAAAAAAAGGAAAAAAAAAGTTATTGTTTTCAATGTGCAATTTTTTGTATTGGTATTATACATTTTTAAAAATTATTTTATAATAATTTTTATAATCTTTAAATAATAATAATAATAATAATAATAATAATAGTCTTCAAAATTGATTATTATAATAATAACATTTTATGTCTATGAGGAAAAAAATAAGTATATCATTCCTATCTAACTTCTAGTCATTTATATATCTTAGGCAAAATTTAATTCTTCTTTTTGTTTTTTGTTTTTTTTTTTTTCATCTTGAATGAATAGTGTTATTTTCCATGAAGATCATCAACAACTGCATTGTTAAAAATGAAATATTTCATAGAGCCGGTAGTAGTAAAGTAGACGACGCACATTAGACGTCCTTATGTAGAAAAAACTAACTCTGGCATGTTTATTAATTTCATGCCAACAAGCTGTCACACGTACGTCACAATTTACTTGTTCTTCTTCTCTTTCTATTATATAAATATCAATTATTATTATTATTTTTTTTTCTTTTTGATTAAATTGAAAAATCCTAAGTATTATCCTAATATTCTTCTTACAGCTAAAATGTCAAATGTATAAACACAAAATTGAGTTTAATGTAATGTAATGTAATCATTATTGAAGATGATTCTCTTTATAACTATTTTATACTAATAATATTATAATAATAATAATAATAATAATAATAATAATAATAATAATAATAATAATAATAATAATCTTCGTAATGAGCGTACTACTGTTACGTTAAATATACCTATCTAAATGTTGTTTTCTATAGATAAAGCATAAAACATTTATTGTACATGCTATACTTTATGTTAATCATTATTAAATGAGAAAAAAAAAAGCACATTCATATAAAATTAAATTATTATTATTTTTTGTTTTTTTGTTTTTTCTTAATTTATCCAAATGTATTCAAAATAGAAAAATTTTCTACATAAAATGTAACTTTACTTTTTTTTTTATTGTGTATAAAATATACAAAAAAAAAAAAAAAACAAAAAAAAAAAAGAATAAAGAAATTAATATTTATTAAACAACTATGTTAAATAAAGATATTCACATTTGTAATATAGCAAAACATATATAACTTGTACTTTTTTTTTTTTTTTTTAGATAAATATTTAAAGTCCCATTTTTACGATTTTTTGTTTATTTTTTTTTTCTGTTTGTTATTGTAAGAAATTGTATTATTTTCTATATATGTAAAAATTTACATAATATTATGTGACTCTAATATATAACATTTATCATCGTTACTTCCTCAACCAAAAATATAAAATTTGTTAATACTTGTAATATTATAATCAGTACAGAGGTCAATTGAAAAATCCTAAATACATACTTTAAAATACAGTATTATAGAAGTATTATTTTTTACGACATACGTATAACAGCTCAGCATTAAGAAAAGAAGAAGAATCCCTTCCATTGATATCCTAATTGGGATATATTTGTTGCGCTTAGTTTTATATTATTATTTTTTTTTTTTAAATAAATATATATTTTTAGGGTCCCAAATCTTTGTCCATTATCGTGATTACAATGTTTCAATATTAAATGTTCTGTAACTATTACATATACTTGTGTGTTATACAAATCTCAACTACACATCTAGCATACTGCTAGTATAATATATATATATATATGTATATATATATTGGTGGACTGTCTTTTGAATGAAAAAACGTCTATACTTTTGAAAAAAAAATGTAATAATAAAAGAAACGTGTACTGTCAATGTCATAGTTTAAAAAATATATCATGTAACTACAGTTTCCATGCATAATATTGTACATGGAATATTTTGTGCATGCAATATCAACGTTTACTTTGGTAAGATAGAAAAACTATGTACGTTGCATCAATTATTACTGTGATATTATAGTTCTCATAAGTAATTATTATAACAGTGTAAAAAGCATGTATTTGCTTTTCCATTGTATCCAATTGAAAATGTATTCAATTTTGATATACTATTTTTATGATATTCTTAAGAAATACGTTTTACAAGCAAAAAGTGCAAATATTAACAATGGGATTATTCCAATGAAAATTTCGGACCTAACTTGTAGAGACAACTGGTGTCTGGCAATACGGGCACTCACGCTGATTTGGAGCGCATGTTGAGCATACCACGTAGTGATTACAAGCAAGAGTTACAGTACGATTTTGTTCTTCACAAACCATGCACTTCGCTGCAGTTTCTCTGTACAGCACCTGGAATGGCAAAAGCCGAAGTACCTATATTGTTTCATGAAATAATTCACGCTACATACAAATAAATAACTTCCTCCTGATCAATCATTACTGATAAGTAGAAATTTACAAAATGTTCACATTTTTGTTTTAACGCCATTATTGATGTTAAATCGTGTATGCATAAATACTGATATAAATACTATTTTACGTACATTATGATAATATCAATATTAATACTAATTGAAATAATGTTCCATATACCAGTCAATCGAGTCACAATAACAACAACTTTGTTTTACCTTATCTATTTCTTCAAGATCCGAACGAAGTTGCGATTGAATTGATTTTAATGTTGCTATTGAAAGTGATCTGAGTTCACTAGTTCTTCTCAATGTATGCAAATATGGACCACCACTGGCTGCTTCATTTTCAACACGTAATGCTTTTACTTGCAATAAAGCCTAAGAACGATCAAAATAACAAAGTTCATTGTTTCGCTCTCTCTCTCTCTCTCTCTCTCTCTCTCTCTCTTATATTGTATTTTATACAGAATAATATTAAACATAAGCATCACTACTATACTCTATATAGCATTTAAAAAATAGAATTTTAAATAGATATAAATAGAAATAAATTACACATATATAATATATGTTATTATAAATTAAATGAAAATATATTTTTATGAAGAAAAAGAAACGAAATTTAATGGCAATATTAATGAAAGATATTTTTGATATTGTAAATTATTAACAATAATATATATGATAAAATTGTTTGTACTTTTATTCACCTCATCTCTTTGTTGTTCAGCAATATTGGCTTTTCTTTTAGCTTCTTCACTTTCTAACTGCCATGCTGCACAAGCTGCTCTGGCTTGATTAATTCGTTCATCCCAAGCTGCTAATTGGGCACGACTTGAAGTCAATTCTTCTCTGAGTCTCTGCACCTATAATAAGTAATTAAAAATCTAGAATTGTTCAAATCAACTTTTATAAAATAATGAAGTATGTCATAGCTAGAGAAACTCTAACCTCAGATAAAGATCCTGTGTTACTTGGACTAATGGAGAATGAACTAACCAGTGGAGATGCTGGGAGAGGTTGTGTACGAGATGGTGACATTCCTTGGCTTGCAAAGTCAAATAGGCTACTATTAAATCCACTAAGTTTAGAAGCTGAACTACTAAGTTGAGACATATGATTGCTAAATGGGTCTGAAACTTGATTCATAAATGGCATTGTCTGAAAATAAGCCAAGACAAGAGTTATTAAACAAAAAAATTACTAAAAGTCTTATTATTGTTTTTTAATTAGTTATATAAACAAATTTACCGAATCTATAGAATCCTGATGTGAAAATCTGTGTCCAGTGAGAAAACCGGCTGATTGTAATTGCTGAAGAGGACTTGAAGTAGATGGAGAGAAATTTGTCAGAACGGATCGTTCTGTCATTCCAGGAATATTTACTGGAGCTGAACTACCCAGTAATCCTGAACTTGCTAAACCCGCTGATATTGAATTACTAATTGGAGAATTAGTATCCCTATGAATTGATTCTACTAAATTTAGTGGATCGTCTAAATGTAATTCATCTAATGCGTTTCCTAGAAAAACAAAAGAGACTATTAGTCGAGCAAAATACATATGAATCAAACATACATATAAAATTTATAATATTTTATTACTATTAACTTAAATATAAATTAACACACACACACACACACACACACACACATACCTATTACAGATTCAACAGTGTCATTTGGATAAAATGAATTAGATAGTGGTGATACGGTTGTTGCCAATGAGTGACTCCCTAAGGTTCCATTCAAATTATAAGTGATAAACAGATTTTGTTTTTGTTGAGTCTTTTCAGCTTTTGTTAATAATGGATCACTGTCTATAGCCACCATTTGTTTTCTTATTTCACCCTATTAATAATATTACATTAATAAGAAACAATTTTAAAAAGACTTTAAAATTAGAACATCTAATTTAACACTTAGCCGACCGCTCGGGTAGATCTACCCTTTTCATCTAAGGAACGCTTCTTTCTCTATAGAGCTTATTTATATAGGGTACAACATATAATAAAATGCATCAATTTTTGAAATTTTTCATTGCTCATTATTACGGCTCTTTATTTTCGGGATTTCCGATGGAGTCTTTGCCAGCCATAAAATTGTTTACTAAAACACTACTTCAGTGGAGAGCGCAGTTTGGCCTTTCCGAGCGCGGTGGAAACTGTAGATTTCTTTGTGGGGCGTTCTAAGTGTTAATACTGAGCCGACTGATCGGGGAGATCTCCCCGTTTCAATGTAGACAAATATATGAAAGGGGTCGATCGTGCAGACAAATATATGTCTTACTATAATATTCTTCGAAAAACCACAAAATGGACAAAACAAGCAGTGCTTTACTTTTGAAATGCTGCTCTTACAGTTCGCTGCGGCGCGCGTGGTCGGATAAGTGTTAATATAAATGAAAAACAAACTTACAGCTTGTAAAAGAGAACCAGGATTGTAAAGCATACTAGTAAGTTTCTGTTGGGCAGAAACATTCACAGCATTGTTAGAACTGGAATTATGAAGTTGAGCACCAGGAGCTTTACTATGTGAGCTATTACTACCAAGACTACTAGTACTCGCAGATTCAGATACTTCACCACTTCCATTCTGAAATTTGATCAATTGATCAGTCATCATTTATTAAACGCGTATATAATTGTATTTTATTATTAATTTAAATTTCTTATCTACAAATCTACATAAGGAGTCAAAACTTACACTACTATCGCTAAGAGGTTTATCCTTGTCATGACTGCGCTTATCAGGTGGTAAAGCATTATTGAGTATATCTGCTAAATTTGTGCCGCAATCTATGGGTACCGCCATGTCCCTCGCCAGACTCATTTCTTCTGTTGGCAATACTGGTCCATCAGCACACCATACCAATGTCCCAATTTATCAATTTTGAGAAGCAATTTTGATGATAAAGCTTATTATTTTCAAGAAATTTAATTGCACTTTGCAGATTGCCAAAAGTATAATCATTTTTACATAATATAAGAAAAGAGCAGTATGTTCATAGATTGTTGTGAAATATGAAGGGGTAACACAACTATAGAATTTTCAAAAAATCGTTTTTTTAACTTGAAGTGTACTTTAGACGTCTAAAAACATTATGCACTTGGTCCCGAAGCAAAAAAATATTTTTAACATGGTGAAATTTTATTTTTTAGGAGGCGCCTTGAAGCGCCTCGAATAGTGATACATTTTTAAAACTGGGCGGACTCAGAACTGGAGCATCATTTAACCGATTGACTTGAAATTTTGAAGATAGTTTGATAGTTGTATTATCTACAAAAGTACATATTCGATTTTTAATTGAATGTAAACTTGTAATTTTATAAACAATTTTCTACATTTTTTTTTTGTCGAAAAGTCGATTGTTTTATTCAAAGTTGCGCCATTTTTACAAAACTTGACTTAGGAAAAAATCCGTATGTACTTATTAAGATAATAGTACATAGATTAAGAATTTCTTTTGTTTTTTATTCTAGGTCTCATAGTTGTCCAGGTATGAGTCCGCCCATTTTA